CCTACCAATGCTACCAATGTATGAGAGGAACACAGCTTTCACTCTTAACCAAACTAACATTACTAGCCAATTTGGTCCTATTCTCTTATAAACACGAGACGCGCATAATGCTGTAGTATCCAATGGACCCTTTTCACAAGACTGTGATGACGCGTTTAACGGTCATCAGTATCGTAAATCCTCGAAAGTTTTTCATATTTGTATTTTTTTTTTAATTATCTACATTTATAACACTATTCTTTTTATTACATCACCTTTGCATCAAATTACAAAAAAACAGTTGACGTTCTACTTTCTACTGAAGAAACAAAGTCACCTACATCTTGGATGCCCTGGGGGTAAGCAGATAAACATTCATTTTTGTAAAGCCTGTTTTTCACTTAGTTCTATTTGTATTACTAAAACATACTTGTCATAATAATCAGTAGATTAGTTGATTAGCAGAATAATTGTTAGTTAAGTCCTAGATTTGTTAAAACATTTCAAAATATAACTGCATTGTTCTACTTTTTGTAATTAAAAGACAAATATTTTGTCATTCAAATATTTCTTAAAGTATTAAAACATTGTCTCATTATATTGAACCAAGTATATGCATTTTGTCTCATCTCGTGAGCTAAGTTTATTGTCACATCCCTAGTGTTGATAAGCGCTGATATAGCTCATAATTTTCCAAGTGTATGATATAACCTAGCTTTCATTCTTGAGGTCAATCATATACTCGTGTGAAAAAAAAATCAGTTTGAATAAGGAAAGCGATAATATGTTACTAGTTAGTTTCAAGGAAAATCATTTTCAAATAATGTTATTTTTTTCTTTTCTTTTTTTTTGCGTGTGTGTCCACCCCCGCAACCCCCCAAACCCCGCAAAAAAAGTTCAGGCTCAGGATTTTTTTTTGCTTTAACCCCTGTGTTTAGCTTTAATTTGTTTATTTTAGTTGTAGTAATTTTAGTATTATTAAAGATGTTAAATTCAAACTTATTTAATTTCAGTTAGGCAACCTTTCTAATTTTCTAAGTTTAAGTTTTTCATCATTTATAAATAAATATATATATATATATATATATATATACAGTATATACTGTATTTCAGCTTCAATTAACAGGAATAATTTTTAATAGTTTTAGTTAACAATAACATGTATGCGTTTTAATCAACATTAAGGTGATTAAATGATGAAAGAATTCTAATTTTTTGGGGTAAGTTATCCTTTAAGAGTCGGGAGCATACAGGTCAATAGGTTTTTGATCGTATTTTAATCATAGTTGTCTTTCAGCTGTCCCAGAAAGCCAAAGAGATCTACAATCGTTTCCTTTCAAGTAAAGCTACCATGCCAGTGAACATCGATAGTCAAGCTCAGCTTGCTGACGACGTCCTGACAGCTCCACAGCCTAACATGTTCAAACAGCCACAGCTGCAGGTCGATGTACACACATGATTAAACTCCCACATTCACATAGCAGTTGTCATTGTTTGACTGAGCAAACCTAACCTTCATTAAGCCTTGACTCATCCCTGCAGATCTTTAACCTGATGAAGATGGACAGTTACGCTCGGTTCCTGAAGTCCACTCTCTATCAGGAGTGCATGCTGGCTGATGTAGAGGGCCGACCTCTCCCTGACCCCTGCCCGATTCCATGTAGCCCCGCCCCCTCCAAGCACAGCCTCAGCTCTGACCGTTCCACTTTCTCCACACCTAAGAAGGTACTAATCTCACTACAGCAGCAATATCTCAAGAAAGCTTTGTGGCGGATAAATTATGAGCAATATAATAAATGCTTTTGGTTTTTGTTTACACCAGTTTTTTATTACTTGTCTATGGTTGCCAAGCAACATCACCATTTGCTGTGTTAATATAGAGCTCAGCTGTTTCAAATGACTTGAACTACCTTTGATTTTAATGTAATTAATTTATTTTGTTATAAAAAATAGTCATTGCTAGTCAAATAGTCAAAACAATATTAAATAATCAAACCATAACAATATCACAATATTTTACATTTTTATTATTAATGCTTTTCAAATATTTTTTATACTTTTATATAAAATAATATACTGCAGTTTACATAATAATAATATAAAACAATGCTATAAAATTTTGGCCATACTGCCCACTGCTTAGTTCCATGCTAGCTGTACAGAATGCATTTAATGGACTTAATGTATGCTGCCTGACATTTCCTATAGCTTTAGCCTGATTCACTGCTATAGTATTCTGTCTGATTGTGTCATGTTGTGCTACAGGAAAATAGGAGGCCCAAAACAGGCAGGTCAAGTGATGACCTCAGAGAGAAACACTCTGAGAAGAAAAACGGCTTCTTTTCCTGGTACAGATATCCAAGTATTGGGAAAGGACAGAAGAAAAGAGATGCACCAGATTTACCTTACCGTGAGTCTCAAAACAATATCTCATCAACAATTATTTAATTTCCTGTATATATAACATCATATATTTCTGTAGATCTGACCCTGTCTGCTGTTGATGTAGCAATGAGTACTGATTATGCTTAATAAGCTGACAGTGTTTAAGACATGTGAACACTATAAAGAGTGTTCTTTCAACAGGAAAAGATCATAAACAATTTAACAAAACTTGATCAACCTTGAGTGACACCTTTGCTTATTCAATGTTCACACATCTATTTATGTGTTTTGTAGCTTCTGTGGGGTTGATTTTTATGTTTCAGTATTTATTGAGTAAATTAGTTATGTCATTTATGTCCACAGCAACCAACATTTTTGTCAGTGTCTATCCATAGTTGAAGAAACACCCTTTTGTTTGACATCAAAAGCAGAGAAAAACTTCCTTAATTTAATATGCTGATTTCATGCGACAGCTTTTCTTACAATATGTTTATTTTTGGTAAATATTTTTTGTACATTGCAAACATATGAAACCAGTTTAATGCATGCTAATATGTGACATCTGCCATGTTTTGATTGGTTATCCATATGTGTGGACAGACTGTAATGGGCGGAGAGAGTCTCAGGGTTCTCTGTCTTCTGGTGCGAGTCAAGAGCTCAACACTTCGTCTTCCGGAGGAAAGAATGAGGTAAGAGGATCGGGAGTTAGGGAGTACACCCTTTAGGACACTAGGGAGTTACAACAATACTTAGACATTAGACATGCAAGGGGAGGATTTTCAGCAAATCAAAGCAACAGTTGTGATCATGCATTACTGAGAGTTTTACAGAGTGCTTCGTTAATGAAAATAATCAGAATATACAATTTTTCCACAATAGTAATTTGACATAATAAAATTAATTAAACTGTTTACAGTTGCCAGGCAATGTAGCAACTTGGCACATCAACAACTTTTTTGTTTCTTTGATTGTTTTATAATATTTTGTACGTGTAAAGCAGTGTGAGCTGAGAAGTTCTGGTTCTGTTTGGGAAAAGGACAAAGAGCGATGTAGCAGGACGTGTACAGTAATGCTACCTGACGGCTCCAGCTGCTCCATTCCTCTACGACAGGGCGCCTCCATCAGACAGGTGCTGCTAGAGCTCTGTCAAAAACAGCACATCAACCTGGCTGCTGTCGACCTCTTCCTCACCGGAGGAGAGAAGGTAGAGAAACCCTTCACAGCTTTTATAACGTCTCCTTTAGTTATTCTTTGACTGCTAAGATTTCTCTTTTTCCCCCATTTTTCTCTGCTTAGCCTTTGGTGTTGGACCAAGATAGTATTACACTCAGCTCTCGAGAACTTCGTCTTGAGAAACGCACTTTGTTCAGGTACATTTTGTTATTATCATCTCTCTTTCACGCAGACTATCTAGTCATCAGTTGAAAGTTCATGATAATCCCTAAGTATTTAATAACCCAAATATTTGCACCCAAATGTAGTTATGTTGACTTTTATATTCAGTAGGAAATGCTCTTCAATACCAGCATGATCTCCAAGAGCACCAAATGTCATAAATGTAGAAAAGACTATCAAACAGATGTGTGCTGTGGTTGCCACTATACTATAAATAAATCCACCGTTTGCTATTTTCAGACTCGACCTGGTCCCCATTAACAGATCGGTTGGGTTGAAAGCAAAGCCCACAAAACCTGTGACTGAGGTTCTGCGTCCTGTGGTTGCCAAGTATGGACTCCACCTTGGTGATTTGGTTGCAAGAATAGTAAGTGATTGACTGTGACCAGTTACACATGTGGCTGGCATACGTTGTGTATTTTTGCTGTGCATACTGTCAGTACAGGTCTGAATTCAGTCTTTATACAAAAGATAGCAATGTCTCATCTAATCTGTGATTTAGATTCAATTTTTTTAATATGTTATGTCAAATTTAAAACAATAGGATTTCCTGATGTGAAATGTACATGCAGCTGGTTCGGTCTCATAGGGTGTGGAGTTATGTGGTATAGCAGGAACGCTGCAGTTTTTCCCCTCTTAAACGTCAAACAGTGGTCATCTGAGCCAGCTTTTAGAAGTTAATGGAAGACAGCACTAAGCAGAGAGAAAAGACTGTAATGGCTTGAAACAAAGCCACCTCCCAGCTCGGCAAAGCATGAAAGCTAGTTTATTTTTAGCCAGTGGTCTATGAAGCTTTTACTATATCACAGAGCACAGACGTTCAGCATTAGCCTTCAAAAGCATTGAAGAAGATCTATGTGACACAGTATATGTGTTCTGAGATAAAAGCAGGTGCTAACATTTCAGTCACATAGCAGTGTTTAGTGTTTAGAGGAATGTTCTGGTTTCAAAACTAGTTAAGTTAAAAACAAGCACAAGCTGTGTTGGTTGGTGGTGCAAGACATTCCAGATGATTGAAAAGCAGAAATGTGCAGCTTGTATTTTTATTCAAGTGCTTATCTAAATTCTTCCATAAAAATTTTTTGTGTTATTTCAGCTATTAAAGTAAATAATCCTTAAAGCAATTGAAATACTGTTCAGGGTGCATAAACCTCTAGTCTTGCGTTACCATATAATTCATTCTTGTAAATGAATTTTGCACATTTAAATAGTACTTTGTGGATAGTAACATCATATGTTCACAATAGGATTTGAAAAATAGCAGATTGTACACAGACAAGGTTATTCAGCAATTTAATAAGTAGCCACATGTTAACATGTATAATGTTCAAGTATTATGAGCAGGAGTATAAAGCATTCCGTTATGGTGTGAGAAACTGATGCAAAAGATTCAGTGCGTGAGTGAACTGTTCACGATTCAGTTTGATTCATTTTTAATTCAAGACCTTATTACAAACCCGTTTGACTGATTAGATCTAAAGAGTGATTTATTTGTGACTGTAGCATCACTAGTTTTGATTCTAAACAGCTTGTAGAAAACACTAATGATATGATTGTTGAAATACTGTATTGTAACATGATTATCAGGTCGATATATTGTAATCTCCTCCATCAGAGAAGGATTTATTAGTACATTTATACTGGGCCACAGCTGTATTTCACTGGGGCTTGTGCCACAAAGTGTCAATTGATGCCCCTGATTATGGGTACTGTTTCAAAACAGTATGTATTTAAATGTCCAGTGCAGTGCCTGGTCCCATAGACTTTGTGCTATTGTGAGTGCATTACTGTACTCACTGAGAGATGCATAGAAATTATTTTCTGTGGTTAATCAAGCCTGTCTTTAGACCTTAAATTGTAATGAAACTGGAACAGTAAGCTGTATCTGCCATCAATCAAAATTAATTTGTAAAGTCACATTTCTTGAGAAAAGAGTCTAATGTTAAATGTCTGAAATTTTTTAGAGTGGAGAGACAGAGGTTCTCGATCTTGGAGTGCCCATATCAAACCTTGATGGCCTACGAGTTGTACTGGAGAGGGCTGATCCAGCCAAAGGTGCGCACGCACACACACACAAACACACACATTTTGGGTTTACATGTTTTATAGGAACTTTTCAAAGACATAATGTTTTTTATACTGTACAAACTGTATATTCTATCCCCTAACCCTAAACCCATCCCTCACAGAAAACTTCCTGCATTTTTATATATATAAAAAAACACACTGAGGACATTCCATAGATTTGTCTTGTTTTTTTTTTTGTTTATATACAGCTAGTTAACCTATATCCATAACAGAACACATTCTACATTTTTTAGAAATGTTTTATTTCAAGTTCTCCAGTTCTCTCTGATAATATCAAGTAATTGTGTTCAGGGTCATTTCAACATTCCTTTGGGTAATTGTTTTGTTGTACTCCTCTACCAGACAAGTCTAAAACACTCAACTCCAAAACACCAGCTGCCAAGAAAAGTCTGCCAAGAGAGGTGAGGGTGACTTCAGTAAATACAGTAGTGTGTGAGATGTCATGCCTGCTTCAGTCCTCTAAATTTACATTTACATTTACATTTAGTCATTTAGCAGACGCTTTTATCCAAAGCGACTTACAAATGAGGACAATAAAAGCAGTCAAAACTAACAAAAGAGCAACAATATATAAGTGCAAATGACAAGTCTCGGTTACGCTCTTGCCAGTCTTAGGGCTTCAACAACTGAAAGCAAGGCAGTCTCGGTTGAATGTCCACTTCTGAAGCCAGATTGGTTGCTGTCCAGGAGGTTGTTCTGTGCGAGAAAGGCAGAGACTTGGTTGAACACAACTCGTTCAAGTGTTTTTGCAATGAAAGGTAGAAGGGAAACCGGTCTGTAGTTCTCCAAAAGAGTTGGGTTAAGAGTGGGTTTCTTAAGAAGTGGGGTTATACGAGATATCCAAATCTAAAATATATATTTTATATATTTTAATATAAATATCCAATATTCTTAAACTGCAGTCATCATGCAAAAACTAAATGCATCTTAAGTTAAAAAATAACATTCTCTTTATATTACTAACTCTAAGCATGCATGGATGTGGTGAGCATGAACTTGTGGTTACATGCATGACTTATGTTTGTGTTACATTTTGAAATATCAGTGTGCATTAGAAATGGCTTTGTACACTGTTCAGACATGATTCCTATTTTATAAAGGGAATAAAACCTTCATGAACATGTCAGTCTATAAGACATTCAGCCCAGGATTCATTCATCATAGCTCATCATATCTGTCTTTACTGCATTGCTAGAGAGATGAAAGCTTGGCAGGACAACCGTCGAAAGGAGATGGTGAAGACAAGCATCCCCGGTCAGCTGCGTCAGAGAGGAAGAAAGGGAAAAAGAATCATATAGATGAAGCAGAGGGTACATATTATATACTTTTCTCTGACTTCTCAGTGTTTTCTTGTCCATTGTTTTTGTCAAAAAGTGTTTGAGGACTTAATCCACACTTAAAACCTGTTAAAACCTAGTAGATTAAGAAAGTTTGTCTCAATTTTTAGCTTAAATGGTTTGAAAATTTCCAGTGTTATTTCAGTATTATTTATAAAGTATTATAGTATTTATTAATATATATTTTTTTAAATTAAAATTTTAATGTAATACATTTGTGTTTTTGTTTTTAATTTGTAAACATTTCTATTTAGCTATAATTTATTTTCATTTCACTTTTAGTAGTAATTTAGTACTTAAACTTTATATATATTATAATCATATATGTAATATAAAATTGATGTTTTATTTAATATTATTTTATTTTGTTCTTTTTAACAAAAACTGTTTTTATAGATTTAGGTTTTGTTAATAAGTACATTTTATATACTCTACTTATTGTTTAAATACTCTTCTTTTCTAGAATTTTTCGAGTTGTTGAGTCGTGCTCAGAGCAGTCGTGTTGACGACCAGAGAGGCTTGCTGAGAAAAGAAGACCTTGTGCTTCCTGACTTTCTCCGTCTGAACCCTGATCCCGAACCCCAACCCTCTGCCTGCTCAACCCCCACCTCCCATAAACCTGGCCACACCACCACCACCACCACAACCCCCCAGTCTCCTAAACCCAGCTCCTCAAACGGACACCCCCGTGCACCCAGCCCTGACTCGCCCCCTTTCACCGCCCCACTCTCCCCCATCCTGCACTCCTCTGGTCCGCAGGGTCAGGACGAGGAAGGGCTGGGTGACCTGACTCTTGTGGGGGAGGGTGACATCAGCAGCCCTAACTCCACTCTGCTTCCGCCTCCGCCGATCTCTCCGCCCCTTTATGAGGGCAGCCTACCTGAGGCCAACTTCACTCATCCGCCATGCTTACACAGGCATCCCAGCCCAGGTATTTCTCCCGCCTGACTAGCCGTGAGTGTGGCTGTGTGTGTGTGCGTGTGGTGGGTGTCACGTTTGAATGGATTCATGTAATAATAAAAACACACATCCCAAATTCACTTGACATACACTTGATAGTATTAATCTCACTAGTGTCAACTTCACTAGTGTATCATATTTATACACACATTACCGTTCAAAAGTTTGGGGTCGGTAAGATTTATGTTTTTAAAAGACGTTTCTTATGCTCACAAGGCTACATTTATTTATTAAAAACAGTAAAAAAAAAAAGTTTACAATTTTTTTTTAGTATCTCACTAGTGTCAACTTCACTAGTGTATCATATTTATACACACATTACCGTTCAAAAGTTTGGGGTCGGTAAGATTTATGTTTTTAAAAGACGTTTCTTATGCTCACAAGGCTACATTTATTTATTAAAAACAGTAAAAAAAAAAGTTTACAATTTTTTTTTAGTGAAAACAGTAATACTGTGAAGTATTATCACAATTAAAAATAACTTTCTTCTTATTATTATAATGTTATTAAAACAGTTGTACTGCTTAATATTTTGTGGAAAGCGTGATGCTTATTCAGGATTCTTTGTTGAATAGAACTTTTAAAAGAAGAGCATTTATTTGAAATAGAAATGTTTTGTAACATTATAAATACATTTTATTGTCACATTTGATCAATTTAAAGTTTCCTTGCTAAATACAATTTTTTTAAATCATACCGATGCAAAATTTTTGAACGATGGTGTAGCTGTGCTTGAAACGGAATGCTAGTTTACTGCATATGTACTACAAACTACATATGCAAAAGTATGTACTATAAACTGCCTGATGTTTAATTAAAGTATGTGAAACAATATGGATTATGCACTTATAAACATTGTTACATGACATTATTACATTTGGATCATAGCCAGTTTCTCTGTACTGTAGACTATGTAATGTGTATGTGTTAAACTTTAAATTAATAAGGCATTTTTATTATGTGTCTTGTTTTGACACATCCTTATGAAAATAAGACACCCTGTAGATCATGTTGTAATCTGAAAGTGTTCACATGGGTGTATCAAGACTGTGCTGTAAATAATCATTTACAAATCTCTCATATTCCTTTTTTTGTTAATTTTTGACATTTCCTTTTGATACAAACAATGATACAATCATTGCCTAAGTGCAATTCAACAATGCTGAATGTGAGACTTTAATCAGAGATGTTCTGGCAGGAATACTCTTACAGTATTTCACAATACACTTTGTAAACACCTTAAGATTCAAGCTATACGCTATGCTCTCAAACAGTCGCATTGTTGATTTGCTTGCCATCCTGTTTCCTTTGTAGTGATCATGTTGATTCTGTGTCAGTCTGATTAGATCTAATAAATGTTAGCAAAATCAGTCTAGACTTGCCTGTGATCTTGTTTGTCATCCCTTTACTTTCCTGGTGTTATCATGTTTCTTTATGCTCCTTTCCTTACTTTTCTGCATCTGAACTTTTTTCATTCATGATTGCCTTCATTGCATTTGAGAAACATACGGGAACTTGTTGTTCCAGATGCCTGCAGACCTGAAACCAGTCAGAAACCTCAAAGCATGTTTTTGCACAAAAATGATCTTTCCAACCTACTGGAACTTTTAAATTAAGATGACTGCATGCAATGCATCAGTAACCTATCACAGCATGAACATGAAGAGAGCACTTCCCATCTCCATTGTCTGTTAACAGTAGTGATCATGGACTAGATGCGTTCTACTTACACCTAATTCTGATTCCTCTGTAGATTTGTTGTACTAATTTTTACAGTAAACCGGTTGCTGCAATACTAGGGAGTAGATTTAGACATAAATAATAATAGTAAAAAAAAAGACAAATGAGGACATACTGCCACCTTGTGGTTGGATAGTCATTATCAAAGTAACGTTTCTCAGTCAGAGTAACAATTAAGAGTGAAAGATTGAACATTTTCACTATTCATTAGTGTTATATTATTCAAAATAATGGCCTACAACATGCTGTCTCATAATCAATCTGAACTTCATCATCAATGTGTTAATCGCCTAAAATATTTATCCAGTATTCTAAAGCATTTCCATGTTCAGACTTAAACAAGGATGTGATAATCATGTCAATAAATCAAGAAGTAATTTGCAGAGTTTAAAATGCACCTTAAACTTGACTTTCATTTCCCAATCAACCAAATCTGATTCTGGCTCCCAATTCCCACATGTTCCCACACATCTGTATTTTCCTTGATATGTGCTGTACTGACTTGTTTGCAAACTTTTCTCCAGGTACAGAAGAAGGAAACGCATGCACTTCAGCTGTCAACAACCATCCCTCTTCAACAGCTCAAGTGCTGGACAAGGGGGTCACTCTGGAGAACAGCTTCGAGGGTTACGCAGCTGAGCTTCGCCAGTGCCAGAACAAAATGAGAAATGACATTTACCCCTCCACAGAAGCGCCCCGTCCCCTCAGCGGGGTGCTGGAAGTCAACGAGAGCGACACAGTGCAATACAAAGCAACGTTTGTCTGAAGGAAGCTGCTTGCTGGACATTTTCAAAGACTGATATGGAGCCAAATTGTGTATGTGGAAAATCTTTTGAAAAGATTGAAAGGGTTATTCGTTTAAATGTAACTTTAGACCATTCTTTATTTAATGATAATGATAAAAAGAAAAACTCTGTGTTCAGTGTTAGATTGGGATCATAGTGCACATCAGAATATCAGTGTAACTAGCTGGAAAATTGTAGTGGGAGGTAAAAGCAAATGGTTTCAGTAGTTATAGTGGAATTTAGTCCATCAAGTCACATACATTCCTTTACATGGAATGTTTTGTTTTTTTCAAGGCTGTCTTGTACTGTAATTTTGGAAAAACAAACACATCTAGTCTCATGTTAAATACATTAAGTTTTAAAAGACACAAATTAATTATTATTAAAGCTGAATAAATAAGCTTTCCATTGATGAATGGTTTGTTAGGATAGGACAACATTTGTCTGAGATACAACTATTTGAAAATCTGGAATGCGAGGGTGCAAAAAAATCAAAATATTGAGAAAATCGCCTTTAAAGTTGTCCAAATTAAGTCCTCGGCAGTGCATATTACTAATCAATAATTAAGTTTCGATATATTTATGGTAGGGAATTTACAAAATATCTTCATGGAACATGATCGTTACTTAATATTCTAATGATTTTTGGCATAAATTAAAAATGTTGACCATTACAATGTATTGTTGGCTATTGCTACAAATATACCCGTGTGACTTATGACTGGTTTCGTGGTCCAGGGTGGTCCACATATTGTCCACCGTACACAGTTGGCTGATAGACAACCTATCTATCTATCTATCTATCTATCTATCTATCTGTCTGTCTGTCTGTCTGTCTGTCTATCTCTGTATCTCTGTCTGTAGCAGCTACAGGATGGCTCTGTAGGGGGCGCTGTTTATTTTGTCAACTTCCGACGTGGGAGGAAGTTCGTCTGATGTTCTATGGTGTCTCTGCTGTATCCTCAGTGTCCATTGCGATCAAAACACTGTCCCATCTGCGTTCTTCAGCATGAACCGAAAGAGAAACCACTGCTATATGGAAACAGGGCCGTCCTCGGAGTCCCAGGCCGCCTTTATGGACAACGCAGGGTCCTTCAGCCGATACGAGGAGGATTTGTCCGAGCTCGAGCCCGACGAGCAGCTGGTGTGCTCGGTGACCGAGATCACGGAGCACCTGGGCAGGAACATCACGGTGGTGCTGGAGTCCGCGCTGTCCAAGATACGCAAGCTGGTCAGCGTCCGGATCAGAGTCCTAAAGATGGAGCTCCGCGAGAAAACCGACGAGATCGAGCTGCTCAAAGCCAAGCTGGAGCCCACGGAGAAAGACGGGAGGGGGTCTAACTCCAGCAGCCTGGACTTTAGGAAAGCAGAGCATCAACCAGGCCAGAAACACGGCGCCGACCCGAAGAAAGCCAAAACCGGGACGCCCGTGGTGAAGAAGGAGAACATCAACGCGATCTGCGACTATCTGATGAAAGATAAGAACCAGCGGGGTGCTGCTGAAGTGGAGAGCGACCACAGCAACCAGGCCTTTGGGTCCGAAGCGCAGCCGCACGCGTCTCTGAGCCTGTGGACGGACAGCGGAGCCGCGGACACCGACACCGACGCTGACACAGACATCTTCAGCATGCTGCCGTCCGCCAGCAAGCGCATGTATGACTATGAGTGGATTTCAGGAGTCGAGCTCAACTCTGCTGAGTTTAAAGGTACTACTTAATCATATAACCTAGAGTATAGTAGACATGTACTGTAGTGTGCATGTAGTTGTATGTAATATGCATGCATTGTATCTTACATTTGTTTGCATGCATTGCCGTATGCATATAGTGAATAGTATGCATGCATTATAGTATATAGACGAATATAGTTGTTTAAAGTATGCATGCACTGTAGCATGTATATAGTATGCATGCCATGCATTGCAATATGTATATAGATGCATATAGTATTCATGTATCGTGGTATACCTTTTCTTTTTAGTATGTGTCTAGTTGATTATAGTATGCATGTGGTTGCATATAATATGCATGCATTGTCTTATGTGTTTGCATATAGTGTATAGTCTGCATGTGTTGTATATAGATGAATGCAGTTGTGTAAAGTATGCATGTGTATAGTTTGAATGCTTTCTTTGTAGTATATATATGTAGTTGCATATAGTATGCATGTGATATGCATGCATTACATGCATGCTTGTAGTATGCATTTATTGACGTATGCATACATTTAATAAATGACATGCATTATAAAATATATAGATGCATATAATTCTATAAAGGATACACTCATTGCAGTATGTATATAGATGCATATAGCATTAATGTATTGTGTACATATTTACATGTAGTATACATTCTTTGTAATATATGTTTAATTGCATATTGTACGCTTATATTTGCCTATAGGATGCATGTGTTGTGGTATGCATAAATTGTAGCATGCATACATGTTTTATGTTGCTGTTGTTGCTGCAAAATTGTATGTAATATTTTCATATTTAACAAATGCTTGTCAGATTTAAGTACACTACATCAAATTTAATTCTGCCTCGCTTCAGTTATACATTTAATTCATAGTTAATGACTGCTGACATGTGAAAGGTGTTTGAAGCAACAACAAAAAAATCTGAATTTCAAGTTCAACATCATCTGGATAAATGAACTAAACCCAGTTGCATTTATCCCTGTTCTCCTCTGCTTCTTTAGGTGATACTGAAACAAAATGTGAAGATGTTCCCACTGTGGATGACGAGGATGAAACCGAAGACTCTGAAGGAGGAAGAGGAAGTCTGAGGTCAGTGTCTGACCATTTTCCTCTGGACACTCAGGGCTCCCCGCAGGAAGACAGGAGCAGCCCGGCGGAGGACAGTATGGACAGAATGGAGCCAGGTTAGTGTTTTTAAAGAAAGAGAATGGTTTGGTTTCAATGCGAAATCTACATGAATGCAGCTGGGAAGCATTATGTGTTGTGCATAGGGCTGGCTGATATGATGATATTATCGTATATCGACGATGATATCAGTAAGTATCGTGATGTCAATGTCAACAGTCAGGTAACAGATGTTTATCGACATTATCGGAAAAAAATGACAAATGATAAACCTAGTAAGTTGTAATTTATCTTTTAGAGATGCACCGATCGAGATTGGAATCGGCCGATTTTCCTCATGATCGGCCCGGATCGGTGATCGGTCGGTCAGTCTCACTTCTTTCTGATTTCGAGCCGATCCGTTTTTTTACCAGCGGCACAGGCAATAACATCAACCGCACATTCTCGCTCTCATCTCTCCGACGACCCCTTCTCTCTCACACACGTCTCATTCGCTCCGGTTAAATAGTGCTTGTATTGCGCATTATTTTAGTCATTTCCCGCAGGTTTCGCGCTTATACCAAACGCGTGCGCACCACCACTGATCTATATTAGTGGAGCGCACAAGCCGTGCTCAGTCTCAAACAGCTTGTGAGCCACAAATACCAAAATGAGTGGCTAACTGCGCTAAAACGTTCAAATACATACAAAATTATGTCAAAATGCCCGTCTTGGCCAGTATACAGTTAAACACAGTCAGTTTTGGAACGTTAAATAGTTGAGAAAGAGAACGCATGTTGTGTAACAGTATATTGGGTCCGTGGATAAACTCTTAAAGGGACTGCAGTCCAATATTTCTGCTGCTGTCTGTCATGTTAATCAAAGAACAAAAGACAAAGAAAATCATTTTCTGCTCTTGACTGAATACGTTTTATAACTTTAATGGTAAACATTAATCTGTATTTAATTTTAACTGAATAAAAACTTACTTAACCTGAAAAACTTAAGTTTCATAGCTCTCTTTATTCTATTGCATTTATTTGTGCTGTTGTTTGCCATTTTTTTTTATTTGTTCTTATTTTATTACTGACTTTTTCTTGTTTTTTTTATGAAAATAAAACTTAAAAGAAAGTAGATTTTTGTTTGTATATGCTGTCAATGATAGTTCTTAGAAATCGGAATCGGCAAAAATCGGTATCGGCAGATCAAGTGAAATGTTAAGTACTGTGAGGTCTTTCATGACACTACATATGCTGGGGTGTGAATTTGATAGGTGCTTGATATAAAATAAATGGTGCTTGAAAAAGTCCTTGAAAGTCCTTGAATCTGGTGTTCATGAAAGAGTGGGAACCCTGTTGATTAATAAAATAAAAATTATAAAAATTACAATACAAAAATTTAATTTAAATGACCAATAAAGCTAAATAAATAAAGCAGTTATTTTTATTTAATTAAAAACGGGCCAAAAGAGACCTCCGAACTAGGCTACCAGAAAGAAAGAAAAAACCGTAACGTTTTTGCTCAGAATTCGTTTTTAATCCCTGCATGATTTTAGTCATACATGATAAATATCAAATACGTTATAGCTTGACTGCAAGTTTAAAAACAACGCTGCAATTGTTATAATTAAGGAAATTAAACTTACCATCATGTAGGGCTGGACAATAATTCAATATCAATATGTATCGCGATATAATTTTTTTCAATAACGGTGATATGATTTTTAA